GCTTCAGCTAGTGACATGTTATAATCTACATTCAGTTTCTGCATTGGGTCATGTTAAGCCCTTGCTTTGAAGTCAGTGCTCCTTTTTCATTTATGAACTGCATTCATATTATAACCACAGTGGAAAATGCTGGTCCTGAGTACAGGAGAATTTTTGAAATTTGTATTCAATTTCACCAAATACATGTGAGGGTTTTGTTTTTTTTTCTTAGCAGACCGGTGTTTATTGTAGGGGCATAGAACATTATATCTTATACATTATTGTATACAGTGACGTTTCTGAGTGTCCTTCCTTCAGAAGCGAGCACTCACTGAATAGATAAAGCATACTAATGAATCAAATAAAACACTCCTACATAACTAAGGTTTGTGTATGTCTCTATCCAGTTTAACTACCACACCCAAAAGTACCATGATACCAACTGTACATAAATAAAGAATAGGACCTGAATACGCTCATGCTCTCTGCCAGCACATATAGTTCCATATGTGACCCCAGACAGACAGAACACCACCTGTAGAGAGCAAGTGAGCCAGAGAGAGACAGGTATAGTTATGGGCTTGCGTTTCCTGTTTATAGAAAAACTAAGAGTAATCAATAATCTTTTCTTTCTCTTCTTTTTGATGATCAAAGACACAGGACTGACTTGTGGCAATTAGATGAAGGAACATGTAGCAAACCTGTTGGAAATCTTTGACATTCAGCCACTAAAGACTATAATAAGGCCAGCACCAATATTTGGATATATGAAGTTACAGCGAGGCAAGTGGCTAGGAAAGTGGCCTAAGTGACAGCTGAGAGACAACATGATGGCTGATGTAGAAATAAGTTTTTGAACTTTATTAATAATTCTTACTCCTTTTGGAAAAGACGATAAAAGAGGGGGCGAAAAGAAAAGGTAGTCCAGCTTCTTCATCAAATGCATGCACAATTAATACAGTCTAAACAATATTTTTTTTTTGGTAACTCATGTATTGGCTAGAGTGTGGCTATGTTCGCATATATGCATGTCCACACATGCATATATGTGTGGAAATATACACTCATGTATATATATATGGGTTATACATATTTGATGCAGAGTCATCACAAGAAGGTAGTCATTATTTGAGGGGGGATGGGGTGAAGAAAGACCTCCCCCTCCAAAAAAAAATAATCTGTGACTTACCATATGGTTACCATATGGAGGAATTGTACTTACTGTTTCCTCCTGGTTTGACAAAAAAGCAGCCGTTCCTGTTCTATTAACGGTGCACTGACAGTACGCTGCAGGAACCACGCTCACGGCTGAAGCAGGTGGGTGCTCCCCGCCCTGGCTCACCCCCGTGCACATGCATGCTCCTGCATTGCCAGAAAGTGCATGACTCATGGCTGTTGTTTTAATTTTTTCCCTGAAGCCCATGAGCACTAAAGATGAAAGGACATAACTGTCCTCTGACGGGGTGTTTGGGTGGCAAGTGCCAAGCACAGCCAAAGTTAAAGTGTAAAGAAAAGAACATAGTGTCTAAATGCAATTTTTAAGGCCTCAGTGTGGCTGTCTTACTGTTGCTTGTAAGATGATAAGTAAACAATGTCTTTATTAATAGGGAAAAAAATGATGCAAACATTTCCTCGTACTTTTCAAAACTGTCATCTCTGTTTTAACAGCTCTTCTTTCAAATCAGCATCAATGGTCAAACAGTAGGATGTACATATGGTGGAAAATACACATCCCTTAATCTGGGGCATGGACCATTATATAGTGTTACAGGTTCATGGAGAACATTGTTATTCCACCTGTAACACGAAGGGACCCTGCAAGCCCTACTAGCCCAAAAGCCAGGAGCGTAGGGACTGAGGAAGCAGAGCGTAAGCAGGACATGACACCTAGGTCCCCAAGCAAATGTAAACATGGAGCTATTTCCAATTCATCTTTGATGGGAAAGCCAATGCTACTTATACACAGTGAAGGCCATGAGCTTCGGGATAATGAGAAGCCCATGTAGCCTTATTAAGCCACGCACCTGACGGACTGTTCTGGCAGTTGGGGCTGTACAGGAAGCCAGGTTTAGCCATATTAAAGATGTACAGCTAGGTTTAGCCATATTAAAGATTCCTCGCCCCCCTCCCCCCTTATTTTTGAATTTTAGAGAAAAATGCCACCCAATGAATCAGGCACAATGGATGTGAAAAGACTTTTAATTGACCTCAGCCAAATGTGGAAAAGGTGGAAAGTAGTTTGCATGTAATGTACAAGAGCCACTACAAAAGTATTGTCTATAGTCATTTATTACAGGTTGTTGAGTGGTGGTGGTGGTGGTGCGGTTGTTCTTGGATTTTTTTGGCCAGTGTAAGCAAGACTTGCACTTCTTGAACTTCTCATAGAGTAGGAGAAGAAGGAGAAAGTATAATAGCATGTTCTCATTCAGAGGACTGTTTTTGTT